CATGCACTCACCAAAGACACAGAAGGACAGGATGAGGGGGAGAAAGGAAGCACCTCCTAGTAAGGCGTGGTTATATTGTAATCCCTTGTCGTCTATTTCTCCGTCCTGTCAGGATTTGGGGCTCGTCTTGCCCTGCATGTTTGTCAAGCCTCTGGGGCTGGATTCAGACCATATTTAGTCACGTGAGATCTGGCTTCTTTTCACCACCACCAGGCTATTGGGTCTGCCCCTAAGGAGAGTTGCTGATTTGCTGGTTTGTCCAGCTTTTTACTTGTTGTTACTATTGACTTCCTTGCTCTTTTCATGTTGGACCAGAGTCCAGAAGTCTATATTAATTTTTATAGGGAGAAAAAGTACATAAACTTTAAAAAAGAGGTTTTAAAACTGATGTTTGTCAAGAAGGTAAAATGTAGAACAGAGGTATCCTAAGTTAAGAGTGTAAATAATCTTTATGTGACAAAGGCTTCGTATTAACACATTCATAACTCATAATAAACAAAACATTTTCTACTATATTATTAACCTATTTATATTTGGTAAGTTATTTTTAAAGTCTTGTTTTGAGCGTATTTCCATTAAGTCAATTAGATGCTATTCCATATACTTGTAGGAAATTGGAATCTTAGATGATAAGGGGTGTCCTGGTAGTCCAGTGATTAAGTGCTGTGCATCGATGCTTTGTTGTAATTATAAAGTAGAAAAGTTTAGTCTTAAACTTATAGGTGATCCACAGATCAGGTGAAAGGACAAGTTTCATTTCACAGGTGAAAACGCTGTAGCATAGATAGGCTGTTTTAGTTAATGACAGGACATTTTCTGGATTTACATTTTTGTCCTTATAACCTAATACTTGTAGATATTTTACCTGTTTATCTACTCTCCAGAGGGTATGTCATGAACTCACCAGGAGAGATGGAGAGCTATGACCCCGCCCCCCCACCAGGGGCAGTGTGATAACACTACAATGCCTTATTCATCTCTCATCCCCTCAGGATTTTAGGCACACAAGCTCCTGGCATACTTGTCAAGCCTCTGGGAGTGGTACTTGATCTTCAGATCTTTTTCTCCTAACCACCAGGCTATGGGACTGGCCAACAATTTTATTTGTTTAACAAGTTGTATTATTTTCAGTAGGGCACATCTGTGATCTCCCCCAACTTTTTTTTTTTTTTTTAAAGCTTTTTGCCATAGGGCACATGTATTTGCTGGACAGAGACAGTGAAAGGAAAAATGAGAAATCATCCCTCAGGGGAATGGCCATGTTGCAGTCCCTTCTCCTCTTGGGATTTTGGGCACACATGACATATACCTGGCATGAGTTTCAAGCCATGGGGTCTAGGACTTGAACCTTTGATGGCTATATGGGAGTTAATGCCTTAACCACCACGGCACCTGCTGGTTCCAGTGCCCCTTTTGTTTGTCTACTTTATTCGTTGTAACTGTAGGAGTACATTTGAAGAAGTCAAACACTTCCAGTTACTAACTGATTTATGTTCATATAGAATAAAAGATGATATTTGTCCTATCTAAAGCTCATTGTCTTGTTACTTCCTCAATGCTTTCCTCTAGCTTTGACCATATTATAGTGGTATTTATATTTGTCTTTGTTATTGAAAAATAATCACATGACAGTTAAGTCTTCTAAAGACTTACGTCATTAAAAGAAAGAGACATTCATTGACCTTTTATTCACAGCGTAGTAAGGCAGTAAGCTAGCAACTTCGTGAAGGCTTATTAAAGTACTTAGAAAACATGTGAATTACTTTGATTGCTGATAGTATAAGAATGTATTTATACTAAAATGTGATAACAGGTTTAACTCTAAAGAGTGTTTATGATGGGTTAAAACTATGCTTTTGGATTTACATTTTCACTGTGGCAGGAAGGAATTATTTGCCCTTAAAATCTTGCATAGTTTGGTAGCAGAATATCTGGTCAAAGAAAGTTACTTCCATACAATATTAAATAAATACATAATATTTTATACAATAATTTATTAGTTATAAAGTTCATGGGAAGTACAATACTCTTTATGCTGAGCTTGAAACTTTGCAGAATATAAATGTATATTTTTAGAAACTGCACAGGACATTGAAGTTTTCTAGTCGCTTTGAATTTTCTGTGTAGTCTGTGTACTCAGTTGGAAAACTGAATATGTCACTTCTATAGACATTGGAATAATGTCATTACTTTGACTTTTTCCTTGTTGACAGGAATTGATGAGCAGATTCTCTGTGAAGATAGATAATTCTTAAATTTTTAAGAATTTGCTAAGTTTATACTTGTTTTGATATTATCACTTTCTTCATAAAAGTAGCAGTTGTCAGAATAATGTGTCAGGTGTTCCCATAATACACAGTGGTAGTGGCAACAATAAAAACTTGCCCAGAGCTCTACTCTCAGAACGTAACCACTGGCTGTGGTCCCAAAGCCTGTTTCCTTTACTAATTTTTGACTCTGTCTTGCTGACAGTACAGAATAAATCCTTGAAGCAAGAATAAGCACTAAGAGGAATTATTGTTGTGATTATAACAACAACCTAACAAATGGTTGGAGAGAAAATGAATGGACTGGAAATATACATTCACAATTTTTAAAAATTTACATTTAATAACTGTACATGATTCATGAAATTTTAAGAATTGTAATGGGACCCTAGAGACAGTCCAGTCCAGTCCCCTGATGGAGGCAAATACATGTTGGTACTGTCCTACACTTTTTGTTCATTTTCTAAAAAGTGAGCTATTACCTAAGAAAATATAACTGGACATAAACATATTTCTTATATTATAAGAAAGCTCATTCATTTATTCATAAATCTTTATTATAGTGATTATAGTGTCTACCATGTACCGTAACTTTTCTAGGCTGAAAGGGTAGAGAGAGCAGATTGCTATGTTCTTATTCCCTGAAACCAGATAGGAGGCTTTCAAACATAATCCTATAATTTAGTCACAGATGGTCCCAGTGGAGGGAAGTAAGGAAGTAGCTACAGAGCTCAGTACGACTGTGTAATAAGCATGGGAGAAAACAAAAGAGCAGTATGGGCATATAGAGTAAGGCCCACTAAGATCACAAGTGAACTGATATTTGTGAAAATATGGAAAAGTATTTTTTTATTTTATGTAATTTTCTCATCTACAACATCTTACCTACTTAGACTATTTAGTATATTAGTTTTGTTTTTATATTGCTAGACTTTAAGACTTTTGAGGATAAAGGCCATAATTTGTATCTGTAATACCTATCAGAGTTGTAAAATGGAAACATTAAGTGACTAGGTTAAACAAACTTGATTAGGAAAGTCATTTTGATGTGTGCCATCTTTACCTTCTATGGGCTACAAGATGAAAAAACATCAAAAAGACTGATTAGGGTCTCCACTCTATTGGGAGAATGGGCAAGTCCTGTGCTGTTCTCTAAAATAAGAAATGGGTGGAACAAGTCACTATTGTAGCAAATTGAAATCTTGTTTCCTATAGTTACATTTCAGCAAATGTAACCATATGTACATTCAACTGATGTAGCAGAAATACTGTTGACACTGACTAGAGTAAGGTACCACATGATAAACATATTTAATCATCTATTACTTTATAAAATAATAGGAAACTTATTTGCTAGTAATAGAAAAAAAAACTATTGAAAGTAAATACTGTTGACATTGGCTAGAGTAGGGTGTACTACATGCTAAACATACTTCTTATTATTTTATAAAGTAATAGAAAACTTAATTGCTAAGTAATAGGAAAAAAAATTATCTATTGAAAGTAAATGTGACCTAGAAAAATTTTCAAAAGTCCAAAGGAAAAAACACACAGAAGTGGGAATTTGACATGTGATACAATTACTTTTTTCATTATAAAGACCCCTGTGACTTGTTTTAATAAAATGTAGACATTATCTGTACGCTTCTGTGAGTTTTATTAATTTTATTAAATCCCACTAAATTTTATTTTTGCATTTTTTACTGAATATTTTATTAACTAGTGAAAATAAGATTAGTATAGCAGCATTTTAAAACAATTTCCATCTTATTTCAAGTTTATGAGGGTAGCAATGCATATAGCATCTGTCACATAGTTCTATAAGTGTATGGGTTAACTTGTACTGTTTTATTTACTCAGTGTGTTTTATTAAGAATGTAGATGATGGAGCTAGAATTCTCATTCATATTTTACCCCCACTGTTGACTAGTTGTGTTGGGTCAGTTTAGTTAATTTCTTTGTACTTCAATTTCCTTATCTGTTTAAAGAGGAGAAAATAACATGTTCTTCATGAATTATTAGGATTAAGTGAGTATGTATAGTATGTTTGTGAGTATGTATGTATAGTATGTTTATAGTAATGCCTGACCCATAGGAAATGTATTAATGTTTGCTGTTAATATGCAAATTAATGTTTATCCATATTCATGCCTGTTGTAAAAGATTGATGCCTTAATTGGTGATACAACATCATGCTGCAATTAGAAATACAGTTTTGTGGTTCTTCATTGTATTTTTAGCCACTTAAAAATAACACTGCAGTACTGAAATATGATAATAAAATGATTATTGTTCCTAAAAGCAATATTCCAAAATGACATTTGCTTACTTTTCAGATTCATGTGCTGACTTGGACAGAATTCGATGCTACTAATCAACTACTTTCTCTTCCTCTTGTTATTTTGAGGGGAACAAAACAATTTGGGCCAGATTAAGTTATATTAATTATTTATTACTTTGTTTCTGCATATTGCTGGATTTAGTACTTCACTTTTTTCTCAAAAGAACACTTCATTATTTCTTCTAAACCTACTTTGAGACTTCTGATTAACAACAGAAACTAACAGTCTAGATTGATGCGTAATAAACCTTACCTAAATCTCATCTTTATTAAATAGAGTGTATTGACTATTCCATCAACAAGATGGTTACTAGTTTATTATATAACCTACAAATTTAAAACAACAATAAACCCTACATATACCATACACTCCTTAATGGAATGAATGACAGCTTTGGTCGTCCAGGAGTAGAATGTTATTGCCAACATGAAAGTGGAGCAGCAGTAATCCAGCTCCAGTTCCTGATTAATGAGGTTAGTGAATTGTTTTAATCCCTCCTACTAATAGCTGAAATAGGGCCACATCTAGTTTTCAGATTTCTTGCATGCATTCATATTTAAATATTTGTAGAAAGTAATTTCTTGTGGGTCAGAAAGACAATAGTAATTCATTTGAAGGCACCATCATGACAGTTACATAAATAATGTAAGATATTTTCTCAGAACAGTGTCGCAAACAGAATGGTTGGTACAAGGTAAAATTTTTTGGTACAAAGGGTTTCATTTAGATTTTATTTCAGGGATATTAAAGGTTAAGTAACATAAAAATCTATATTAAAATATTTTTAAAAGATTGAGCTTATTGTAAATAAACAGAATGTACTTTTAAAATGAATTGTTTTGAAATACAACCACAGAACCAACGTCCATTAGCAAGTGTTTACTGCCCGGAGTCCTTAAGTAAAACTCAAGTTGTGTCACTTATTGGTTGAAATAATTGATGATGCTTTTTTTTTTTTTTTTTTTAATAAACTTGTGAAGTAAGGAGGGAGCTAGAAAGAACTCCATGTTATCAGGAGACACTGCACTTGCTGATTTTTAAAAAGTGGGAGCAGCTTTGAGAATAGACATTTACTGTAGTAACAGGCAGGGAAAGTTGGTCATAGCAGGAAGAAAGAGAAATTACTCCAGAAGAGGCTCTGATCTCCTTAGACATGAGGATAGTTTGTGGACATTTTTTGCCTCTAAACCCTTAGGATACATGGAATAAATTCTTAAATGTGTATGAAACAAAATAAATTACTGATAAATGGTTTATTAATATCAAGATTTAAGAGAGACATCTGGGTATTAAAAAGTTAAAAATGTTAATAAAGAAAATTCAGTAAAACTGTGATCAATATAATTTGTAATTGTTTAGGTTTTTCTCAAGGTCAGAAGTTTTTTTTTTTTTTTTTTTTTTTTGCAAATTTTACTGTTCTGTGTAGAACGATTATTCATACATCAGAGATTTTAGGATGTTAAAACTGCAAAAAATAAATCACAATATAGAAAGTTCTTGAACCCATATATAAAGACCTAGGATTACTTTTCCTCTTTTTAAGAATGTTTTATTGTGGACTAGACTCAGTTAAGTTTCAAAATAGTTAATAGAGAATCTATGTACCCTTCTCCCTTCTTACCCTAACAATAATATTTTATATAAATAGTATAATATCAAACCAGGACAGCGACATCAAAATAGTACTGTTATACTTACAGACCTCACTTTGATTCATTTTCCATGTGTATGTATGGAACTTTACGACATATTTGTGCAACTTTATCTCATATTTAGATCCATATAGTGACCACCACAATCATAATGGGTAAGTTCCATCACTGTAAAGGAGTCCCCTCAGGAATGAAAATGTTTCCTCAGCGATAAGGGAATCCCTTTAAAATTGAACTTCCATTTGCCATCAGTCTGTCCTCCTTGGCAACCATTAACCTGTTCTCCATTTTTGTCCTTGTGTTATGATAGTTTTTTAAGAGTAGTACATGAGCCAGTGTAAGTAACATATTGCAAATTGATTATCTACATCTAAATTTTAGAAATTCTAAGAAGTTTATGTTGTGTTATTCATTTAACAGGATTTTTTTCTTTTGTAATGTGATTCATCATAAACTGCTTGTTTTTTTTTTTTTTTTTAAAGGTTTGGTTTTTTTGCTATAGGGCATGTGATCTTGCTAGAAAGGCACACAGAGACAGATATAGAAAGCGAGAAATCACCCAGGTGGGATGGCCATGCCACAGTCCCTTTTCCTCCGTTCTCCTTTCAGGATGTTGGACACATGCACATGTGCCCAGTGTGAGTTTCGAGCTTTCAGGACTGGGGCTCAGATCCCTTGGTCATATCCAGCTATGTAACTATTACGCCATCTGCTGGCACCATCATAGATTGCTTTGAGATGACCATTTAATTTTATTTGACATGCTTAAATGTTACATTTTAAGTACATAAAGTAATAACTTAAAAGAATACTTAGAAAATGGTTATAATTGAGAGTAGCTACTTGCTTTCATTGTTCTGGAAAAGAGTATGTAGGTGGAGAAGGCACCATAGGAGGAGTTCAGCTGTTGCCATTTTTCTCCCAAAGGAAGAGAGAAGTAGAAAAGGAAGAGAGAAGTAGATATAACGACATAGCCATTACGCTAACTGCTGGTCCCTAAATAGGTATTTTTTGACATTATCTTACTGTCATGATCTTCCTTTCCTAGCCTCTTAATTAGCTAGAATTAAGGTACATGTATCCACATCCTGCATGTTCAGCCTGGCTTGGGAACTATTCCCAGGCCTCCGTTACTTCAGACTTTCCAAATGGTGTGCTACCTGTTTTGATTACGCGTCTTTTTTTCCTTTGGTATTTTAAGATGAGGCGAATGTTTTTAGAAAGGTGATTATGTGGTCTGATACTACAGTGGAAATAAGAATTCACAGTACAAATCTTTGATATCCAGAATCCTTTGAGTTTATCTACTTCCAAGTGGTAGGTAAGATGAAGATGCTTTCTAGTAAAATGGAGAGGGGAGAGTATGTGTAAAAATGAGAGTATTTCTTATTTCTAGTTGTCATAATGTAGCTGTAGGAGTTATACAAACAGTAACACTGATGGGGAAAAAGACTTGAAGAGATTACTTAATATAAATCTTGTCTTGGCAGCTGTATTAATCCTTTTGTATAGGTGAGAAGCTCTTTCCTTTTAAAAAGGAATCTTAGGATTTTTCATAATAAAGCATTGAGATTGCAAATCTTTTTTGAAATTAGTCTAAATTCTTCATGTTACATCTCCATCTTTTTCTTCCCTCAGTGTAAGTCAAAGGGACTCTCTTGAGGGAAAACATTCAAATGTCTTAATGAATTATTCCTCAGTCTAGAAATTTTTAATCTTGTTTACACATCACAATCAGCTCTTGAGATGTTTAACAATATACCTATAGAAACCAGAAAGTGGTGTAATGGTTTTGATGTTGGACTCCCACGTGGTCAACTATGGTTCAAGTCCTGGATCTGGCAGCTTGAAACTCATGCCAGACACCTGTGCGTACAGACCCAAAATCTTGAGAAGAGAATGGAGTAGAAGGGATTGTGGTGTGTCCATTCCCTGGGAGAGATGATTTCTTGCTTTCTGTCTCTCTTGTCTCCTCAGGGAGTGCATACGCCCTATAGCAGAAGCTTCTTAAAAAAAAAAAGGAAAGAAAAAAAGAAACAAAAATACACCTATATAGGTCCTTATTTTGAAAATTCCTGGGAACCAGCAGTTAGCGTAATGGCCATGTCGCTGGACTCCCACATAGTTGACTGCAGTTCGCGTCCCGGACCCGATGGTTTAAAACTCACACCGGGCACGTGTGTGTGCGTGCCCAAGATCCCAAGAGGAGAGTGGAGGAGAAGGGATTGTGGCGTGACCATCCCCCCTGGGGGTTGATTTCTCGCTTTCTGTCTCTATGTCTCTCTCCGTCTATCTGGCGAGCGTGCGCGTCCTATAGCGAAAATCTCTCCAAAAAAAAAAAAAAATCCAATTTAATAGGTTTAGAATGAGACTAAGTCACCTCAATGATTCTTAACATACTAGTATTTGAGAGTATATGATGTTTAAACTGTTCTGAATTAATCATTTTAAACCCCTTAGATGCTGGTATTAGTGTGCCAAATGCTGTGTCTTTATATTTTAGAGTTATAATCTCTAAATAGTAGTTTATAGTCGAATTTCCATTCTAGTAGTAGCATTATGATCTAGTATAGTACTTACATTAGAATTTGTCTTTATACAAGTGAAACGAGACAGTCTTTTCCTAAGATACTTTGCTCTGTTGGTCATAGGGCTATGACACCAGCAATCAAGCAATTTATAGTCTAATCTCTAATATAAATAGTGAGATCTTAACCATACAATCCCACCAGATTCTAAAATACATTGGGCTTATAAGATACTAAAATTCTTTTTTGAATTATTGAAAAAACTCAAACATTGATTTATACACATAATACATCCTTTTATATCTGCTGTTTAGGTTTTAGGTGAGACAAGTATTTCTTAGAACTAAGTCTCCTGGTAGAAACTTTTGAAATTTGGAAAGTGGGTTTTGGGGCACCTATTTAGTTTAATAGCTTTAACATTTGTCAAATGTATGACATATAAAATATTCTTTATTTTTAAGGGAGCTCTTGTGAGTGCCTTGGCTGATGACACTTTACACTTATGGAATTTACGTCAGAAGAGGCCTGCCATACTACATTCACTTAAATTTTGCAGAGAAAGGTAAGAATTTTCTCGGTTTTTCTATATGTAGGATATTTGCTACTCTTTGTTGGTTCATTTCTTGAATTTTATTCTTTGATTTTTCTTATGTGGTGGATTTTATGACAATCTAAAAAAATAAAGAACTTCAAAGGATATTCAGTAAGGGAAAATTATTTCCTTCCTAGACCCGTATTCCTCTTCTCAGTCTTTTTCATAATTGTATAATATTCCACTGTGTGATTCTGCTGTAATTTGTTCATTCAGTAGTCATCAGTGGACATTTATAACACTTACAGTATGCTGTTCATTTTGTTCTTTTGTTACATAATTTTTTCCACATATGCAAATGTTTCTTTAAGATAAATTTATAGAAGTGACTAGCTTTGTCAGAGAAATCTCTTCTGTTATTATTTGTGAATTTTGAGCTTTGATTGCAAAGGCCCTTTTCACCGTAAGTTTGTTAAACCTTGTTCCTCATGTGTTTTTATAGTACTCTTAGGGTTTCTTCTTTTTACACTTAATTATCAGTTCACTTGGAACTTATTTTGGCATGAAATATGAATGAGAGTATATTCTCGGGACCAGCAGTTGGCATAGTGGCTATGTCGCTGGACTCCCAC